TGTCCCACCAGGCTCCCAGCACAGCAGCCACCCTATGGAGCCCAGGCAGGAGAATTCCTTTAGAATTCCCATTTTTCCATGGTCTTCCCCGTCTCTGTGCCGTTCTTGCTCACAAGCCTGCTGTGCCTCAGGGATGGCTTTTACAGGGCAGAGATGTCCCAAAGCTCTCCCCAAAGCCAGCGGCCTCTGTCCCTTTGATCTCAGCCCTTGGGGTGCGTGGGCAGAGGTGACAGCGGTGGCACCGTGCCAGAGATGGTGAGAAATGTCACCAAGATCAAGCAAGGCTTGGCAGGGCTGCAGAGTCCCCCGTGCAGGGCAGGACAGAGTCAGAGAGAGCTTTTAATTAAGGCAAACAAGGCTCTTCTATGTTGCCAAAGCAAACAAGAAATACGATTCTCCCTGGGGGTTTTCCTTAGGCTCCTGTCAGGAAAAATATCTGCCTGGAGGGTATCTGGGTTGCAGCCTGGTTTGTGTTGTCACTTCAGAGACAAATCCTGCTCCTCGAGCAGGAGAGCACTCAGAGTTATTGAGAAAATCAGTGTTCAGCTTAATTAAATGGCATGATCCTGAGTTTCAGGTTAGAGAGTGACATGCACTCGCAGATATTTCCAAATAGCACAATCTGCTGGCAGTAATATTCTATTAGGTATTCAGCATGAAATGTAATTATTTCAGATAAGAGCAATAATTGCAGCCCGGTGAAGTCAGACGGAATGTTCCTCAAATAATTGTGATCCTCTTAGATAATTCCAACTCGGGGCTTTACAAACCCGACACGCTTTTTGAAGTAGGTTCCTCTCCTGTAGTAATTCTCTCTGGAGAAACTCATACGAGAGATAAGTGATACCAATATAAATTAAACCTCCTTACAAAGACACACTCATGGAATACTAATGACCAGGATCAGCCCTGGGTGCTCCAGGCACAGCAAATGCCACAGGGGGTGAGCAAAGAGGAGCTCAAAGACCTGAAAGGGATCTCTTAAATTCTGAAATCCTCCTGCCACAGCCCCAGGACAGCAGCTGGTGCCACTCTCTGTCCCAAAAGCTCCAGGCTGCTGCCAACATTCCCAGATCCTGGTGCCTGCAGGCTCCCCATGCCATGGAAAGCACTGCTTTTATCTCAAATATCCCACGGATGGCCTGACAAATACAACTTTGTGTCTTTTACCTTAAATATCACATGTATGGCTTGATAAATACAACCTTGTGACTTTTACCTTAAATATTCCATGTATGGCTTGATAAATACAACTTTGTGTCTTTTACCTTAAATATTCCATGTATGGCTTGATAAATACAACTTTGTGTCTTTTATCTTAAGTATCCCATGGATGGCTTGATAAATACAACCTTGTGTCTTTTATTTTAAATATCACATGTATGGCTTGATGAATACAACTTTGTGTCTTTCACTGACAGACTGGTGCTCTGCCTGCTCTGAGAAGTTTCTTCTCATGCAAGCACTGAGGTTTTTGGTTTGGCTGATAGTTTTGCTTGATTGTTTCTAGTGGAAAAGGCCAGTGCAGTGCTATCTGTTGTTTTATCTGATGAGAAAAGGGCTCTGTGTGGGTGTGTGAAGCTCGGGAGGCTGCTGAGGAACATCAGCAGCACTGTGGTGGTGAGGAGGGTGGAGTGTTGTGACTTTCCACTCCAAGCACACAGTGAGGCTCACAGGAGCTGCACAGGAGGCACAGAGTAGGAGCAAGGTTATTTCTGCCAGCCAGGCTGCTTTAGTAAAAGTCATAAGTTAAACCAAGAGTGGGTTTTCTATCTGGGACTCCCTCTTTAGGTTTTCGAGCCCGCAGAGCAATGAGGCTGCCGGAGCAGGACTAAAACTGCCAAACTAAACTTCCCAAACTAAACCTGCCTCTTCTTCACATCAGCTGGCTGTGGAGAAGCTGCAGAGAGCGTGCCTGTTTTCTGCCCCTGATTAATGGCAAGGAAACAAGAGTGAAAGCTGTGAAATGCTGCCAGTGCCCACCAGCCTCATTCTGCCTCCCTGCAACATGAGCTCTTTTTGCAGGAGAGCCCTTTGGCTGCTCAGCAGCCACAAAACCACTTCCCATCCCACAGAGCTTTGCCTGTGGGTGCAATTTTGCAGGTAAAAAGCAAAGTTGGGTCCCTGTGTGAGCATCTAAGCTGCCAGCAAATTCCCAGTGAACCTGGTGGAAGGAAATCCTTGGATTTGGAGCCTCACATCACCCTAAGGTGCTCTAACAAGCAAGGAAACTGAGGCACAAGACACTGGCTGATGCCTCCCAGGCTGGAAATAAAAATTAGGAGCAGCAGGAGGTTCTTGAGCAACAGCTGAGCACTCACCAGTGCAGTTTGCTTCGTCAGACCAGTCCCTGCAGTCGTTATCCCCATCACACATCCAGGACAGACGGATGCACATCCCTGAGCTGCAGCTGAACTCATCATTCCTGCACTGGTGAGCTTCTGCAAACAAAATATTGGGCTTCAGGGCACGGGAATGCCCAAGGAGCAGAGAGGAAAGGTGGATAATGATGGCACAGAAATCTCCCAGATGGAACACAGTGAGGGGAAGGACCAGCACACATCCTGCTCTATTCTCCTGTCCCTCACTTCCCAGTACATGATGGTGCTGGATTCTTACCTGTCCCTAATTCCCAAATACCCTGGAAATGCTGGTCCTGCCCCCCATTTCCCAGCCCTGAGCAAATGAGTACATTTGTAAATGAGGTGTAAATGAGGAGGAGAAAGGGCTAACAGTGGGATCCTCCCCTCCATCAGCCCTGAGCAGCATCCAGAGCAGGAGCAGCTCTGAGCAGCACACAGAGCAATGGAGAGCAGCTGCCCACACGTGCCCAGGGCAGGAGGGGCACTCACCACAGTGGCTTTCGTCGCTGTTGTCCCCACAGTCATCCTCCAGGTCACATTTGTAGGACAGGGGGATGCAGGTCCCCGAGCCCCGGCAGCGGAACTGGGTCTCGGTGTCGCACACGGTGGTTGCTGATGAAGACAGGAGGAAGAGGAGGAAGCGATGGTTAGAAAATGGTTTCTGCTTCCCTGAGTGCAGGGAAGTGGAGAGACAGGGACAGAATCCCACCAGCCCAGCCTGAATTCCTGCTCTTGTGTTTTAATGCCATTTTTAGGTGCTCCATGCAAAGCAGAGTGCACAGGGGTCAGTTTTCTGTCTGGGAACCAGGACTGAAACTCCTGATTGGGAATTTCTCCTGAAATTCCTGATGGGAAGGTCCCCTCCCAGGCCAGGGAAAAGGAAACCAAGGCTGTGGAGTTGTGTGCTCCCCACAAAGGGACTGAAGCCCCAGGGCAGCCCAAGCAGGGGAGAAGCTGGCCATGAGTGTTGCTATCCAGGGCAGCATCTCTGTGCCAAGCTGGCAACCTCTCTCCAAGGAACGGAGAGGTTTTCCCACACCTGGAGCCACTGAACTCAAACTTGGACTTTGCTAACAGGAAGTAAGTTCCTCATTGGTACAAAATGGGCATAAGCAGCCTCTCTCCTGGTCCTCCAGGGATTCCTGACTTCAAACTCAATCCTTTTTCCACAGTGCACTAACCCAAACCCTCCAGGCTGTGCAAAGCTGTGGAACATCTGCCCCTCCTGCATACACTGGCTGTTCCTAACCTTGCTCAGAAAGGTGACCTCCATCTTTAACGTGTGAACTTGATTTATTATCTCAACAAGAGGCCCATGTCAGCACTGTCTGCTCCCTTCTCCTCACTGGCTGTGCCCTCAATTAACTTCAGAAGACAATTGCAGGAGTTGGCATCAGCCTCACCAAAATTTTAGACACTGATGCCTCATCTACTCAAGGGGACTGGGACAAACCCATCCCAAATTTGCTTTGGGAGTCATCAAAGAGCTGAGTTACACCCCCAGAGAGCTTCTTGCTCTCTCTGAGTGAGAAAGGAGCGTGGAGCATCAGCTGAGGTGGCACCAGAGCAGACACCTGAGCCTGGCCAATGCCACCAGGGCAGGACACTCACGGCAGTTCTTCTCGTCGCTCATGTCCCCGCAGTCATTGTCATTGTCACACTGCCAGATGCTGTTGATGCAGTTCCCGTTGGAGCACCTGTACTGGTTGGGCAGGCACGTGTTCTCTGGGGCAGGAGGGACAGCAGAAACAAGCTGGCATGAGGCTGTGCCTCCAGAAATGGGCCAGAGGACCTCTGCAGGTCACACCGACCTCTGGTGATGGCAGGAGCCACCTCAGCCAGGCAGGACCTCACCTCCCTTTATGCAGGAGCTTACCTTGCTTGACACAGGTGTTGTTCTTCATGCTGTAGCCGTGGGGACAGTCACACCTGAGCTCCCCACTGGGCAGCATCGTGCTGGCCACCCCCTCGGGGCACTTGCAGCTGCGGCCGTTGTTGGACCTGGGCAGGCAGAGCAGGCTGCAGGGCTTGGTGATGCAGGCGTTCTGCCCTGGAGCCGGGCAGGAGGAGGAAGGGGACAGTGTCAGGGCAGAGGCACGGGAGCCCCAGTGTCACTGCCACCCCAGAATAAAGGTACTGGAATCCCAGTGTCACCTGCCAGACTAGCACAGAGGGACAGGAGCCCGAGTGTCACTGCCAGCCCAGGA